TAAAAAAATACAAGGCCACAAGATTTATTAAGCTAAACTTCAATTTCTGCTATGGTTACTCCCGTTGTAATGTTATGGGGCACCCATTTTTAAAGCAATGAACACCACTTTTTTGGTCGAGAATACAACACCGATTATACTCCGCACCCCCAACTCACCTATTTCCCCGAGAAGCCACACACCTGTCGCACCTAATTTCTCCGAACGGATAAATTAAATATTCCGAACAGTCGCACTGCACTGCGTTGCACCTCAATAACATTTAACGAGCAAGTTGTTTAAACAATATACGACTAAAGTACATTTGAAAAATATCGCTTGTAACTTTTGCGTTAATGATAGACTCTTTGCGAAATTATTGCGCAGTTTTTGGCTGTTCCCCGCGACATTTTCTTCCATTCTGTTCCGTTCCGTTCTGCCATGTGTGCAAGCCATTCTGCTCACACCACGGATCGCGATCGCAACCGCGACAGGAGCAGGTATAAATAGGCTGGGACGAGCACCCAGTTTCACCACACTGATTTGAATACATTTCATCTCAACACAACAACTCACTCAATTTCTTTAACAATGGCTGCTCCTAAGGTTGGTATTAACGGTTTCGGTCGTATTGGCCGTATCGTCCTCCGTAACGCCCTCGAGGCCAAGACCATCGAGATCGTTGCTGTCAACGACCCCTTCATCAGCTTGGAGTACATGGCCTACATGTTCAAGTACGACTCCACCCACGGTCGCTACAAGGGTGATGTTGAGATCAAGGACGGCAGCTCGTCGTTGATGGCCATGCCATCACTGTGTTCTAGTGTGGAGTGCACACTTAAGGGAGTGCGGTAGCACTCCCTAGGCCTTGTAGCGTAGCTCCTTGGAGTTGGCTGTGTGGCCTACTCCCTTAGGGAAGTGCGGTAGCACTCCCTAGCCTCTGTAGCGCAGCTCAGTAGAGCTGGCTGCATAACCCTATGAACTTAGGGTAGCGCGCTGGCGCGCGCAAGGCTCTCTAGCGCGACTCCTTAGAGTTAGCTAGAGGCCTGTCTGGGTTAGCGCAACGCGCTAGCCTTCGCAAGGGCACATAGCGAGTTTAGAACAAACTACGCTATGCGGCCTTACAGAGATAGTGCTCCATCGAGCGCAGCCAAGCTTCCACCGTTGGGAGATCCATTCGTCCGTCGTATTTGTTTGGACGAGGGACATGCAATCGCTCTTCCGCGAGCGAGAAAGTAAACTCCTGTTCCATAGGCAGCTAGTAATCCAAAATCCTTTCCAAAACTTCTTCTCTTCCTCGAGGTGAATCCTGTCGTAGCACCTCACACGTATCCGCCCGTGTTGGCAATCAAACAACTTTAACAAAAAACTTAACCGAAACTTTTCCTTGCTTCTGATGGGTTTTCAGAAGCCTCGCAACCAAGTGTAAGACTCAGTCCGTAGGTCAGAATAAGATTAGTTTATTCTCTATAAAATCTAGCTATTTAAGACATCTTGACGCGACGCGTAGATGTAAACAAACGCGTCGCGTCGCGGCGCGCGTTAATGGATTAACGCGCGCGTGTCCCGGGAGTTCTGAAGGCCTTACTGCAGCTCGTTGCAGTTCGTTTGGGCGGCCTTGGGCTTGGTGGTGATCGCCCAGAGTTTTAGGCTTTCGCCTAAATGAACCTTAATGCTTACACTAATAATCATCAATTAATCTTCTTATCCAACTTGAGCACCAACCGGACTGTTGGTGACTCCGTTATAACTCCAGTCATTGTTCGCGTGCCCACGGTTCGCTACAACATTGCCTATAAGCTTTGCGAATTACGAGATAATAGTCTAATGCATCTTCTTTCCGAGTGCTGGAGGAAGTATAAATTCGACGAGAATTTACAGGAAAGGATTGTTATTTTTTGTCGCAAAAAGGAAACCGTTCAGGAAATGAATGCTTTTTTGAATGGAAGCAGCTTTATTACAACTATGTCAACTCTTTATACCGGTGATCTTACAGAAGAGGAGCGCTCAACCAATATGCAGGCCTTCAGCAACGAGGAATCCGAAACGCGAATAATGGTTGCGACAAAAGCTTTTGGAATGGGTATGGATTACGCATCCATCCGCCTGGTAATTCATCTTCATTCTCCTGAAACAATGCTCGATTATGTCCAGGAAAGTGGCCGCGCTGGAAGAGATGGCAAAAAGTCAGAGGCCGTTCTCCTATTTGATCAAAGCGATCTAAAGTCCAAATTTGTTAGTGAAGAAATGAAGAGGATGATTCAAGACGATTCTGCTTGTTTACGTACCCCTGTGTCGCTCGAAATGGATGGCGAATACTCTTGCTGTTTAATATTACCAAAGGCAGAACCTTGCAGTCGTTGTTCGACTTTAATGCCCGCTGATAATTGTCAAAACAAGACGGTGCCAGCAGAAACACAAAAAGACGCAAACCCTAGAAGTGTGGGAATTGAGTGTTACGAAGCCTCTAGGATGACTTCGTAAGGAGTTATTCGCGTTTCTAGAAAACGCACTTTGCATACTTTCGTATGCATTTCCGAAAAACTTAATCGTTTTCAAACGATGTACAAAAATGTTTTTCGGTCATACCCTTTCTCGAGTTGCAATTCTTGCACTTCTGTCATACCCTTTCCAAAAAGGGAATGACCAGTCACATTGTTGCTAATAATAGCAACAATAATTAGTATAAATATTAGTATAGAAATTACTAATAAAACAAGTTCTATTCTCCTATTCTTTAGTGTATAAGTTCTTAAAACTTCCACTTTCGTTTGATACGTCTAAGTCCCTTAGCGTATCATAACAGCTTGGAAGGGAGTTGTGCCAATCGATGAGTGCACGCTGTCATTGTACGCGTACTCTACGAGAGGGAGCAGGGATTCCCATCTGCTCGGGTCGCGCCAGGCAAGCGTCCTGAGCATCTGCTTGACAGTCCGGATGGTTCTCTCGGACTGTCCGTCGGTCTGTG